TGGCATAAAGTAGTCACAGGGGTCAAAAGACCCAATTAATTACCCTTCCTCCTTTGAGTTCTGAATGAGAGTAAGATAAGAAGTAAATTATCAGCAGATTCAAATTAAATGATCAGTTTTATTTTTAGGTAAAGCCAAATTGGAGAACATGAATTAGAATTAATGACAAAATCGGGTTTCCTGTTTCACTTCTGCCTTGGATGTGGCTGATTTGCTTGGGCTTAGAGAACTGTGGGAAGCAAGGGCTCAACGTGAGGAGGTGTGCTCACTGTGTGCAAAAAAAGCTTTGGGTGCCTCAGGAGAGAAGTTGAGGTGTTCAGATCGGGCAGCAACCCTTCACCTCACTGCCACAAAATGAAGGAATAGAGAACAATGTCAACACACTCTGAGGATCACACTAGTCTATAGAAAAGTAGAAAATGATTTAACAGTCTTGGGTATATTCCCAAAGGAGACAGAATCAGCATGTTAGAGATACCTCCACTCCCATATTTATGGTAGCACCAACCACAATAGCAAGTATATGGAATCAACTCAAAAGTCCATCAACAAGTACAGAAAGTAGTTAAACTATAAATCTAATAGGGAATCGTTGAACTCTGAATTGGGCCTTGGTGAGCAGAAAACAAAAGTAATTTTGACTACTTTAAACTCAGTAACTCAGTGAGTTTTTTTTTTTTTCCTTCTTTTTTCCCCGTCTTCTGGAGGTATAGACTAGCATAAACATTCCTCTTACTTTAACACCCTCACCACATTTTCTTGTAAAAATTGTAATTAGCAAAATTCATATAACAATGATTTAAATTAGTATTTCAAGAATTGTATATTATTCATTTAATATTAAGATAAGGATTGGAATAACTGATTTCCATAAATATTTTTATTAAAACTGAAATAAACAACTGATGACATTAAAAAAATCCATCAACAGATGAATAGGTAAAGAAAATATGGTATATATACACAATGAAATACTATACAGCCAGGAAAGGATGAAATTCTGTCATTTGCGACAACATAGATGGAACTGGAGGACTCAACGTTAAGTGAAATAAATCAAGCACAGAGAGACAAACACCATATGATCTCACTCATGCAGAATCTAAAAAAAAAAAGATCTCATTGATGTTGAGAGTACAGGAGTAGTTACCAGAGATTGGGGAGTGTGCAGGAAGGATGGAGAGAGATTGGTCAATGGCTACAATGTTACAATTAGCCTGGAGGAATAAGTTCTAGTGTTCTACAGCATAGGTGAATATAGTTAGCAAAAATGCATTGACCATCTCAAGAGAGCTAGAAGAGAGGAATTTTAATGTAATGTGATGATGACCTAAAGAAATGACAAAAGTTTAAGGCAATGGATATTCTAATTACCCTGGACTGTTACCTAATGTGTATACACTAATTAAAATGTCGTATTGTATCTCAAATGTGTAACTATGTGTCCAAAAAAAAAGGGAAAGAAAAAGCCCTGGACTGAAAGTGTTCCTTTTTATTTAATAAATGAAAGTAGGAATACCAGAAGACCAGGGTAGAGGCCAATTCTTTCCAGCCAGAGTCACAGGCTAGATCATTCTCTTAAACTCAAAGTCAGATATCTTGGTTCAGGGAATTCTCTTTTTTCATGGATAGGCTCTTATGCTCTAAGTAAAAAATGTTATGACTCTCTGTGTTTTTACCTAATGTTTATTTTATCATGATGCTGGTTAGAACAATATTTTCTGATCCGTAGTCAGACGCGTTATCCATTGTACCACTGGCCCAAACTTAGAACAATGATATTTTCAACACAAAGGACACATATGTCAATAACGGAAGTTTAATGATAAGAACAGTTGTTGACTTGACACAAGGGTGTGAGTGCTTTGATGGGAAGACTGAACCTGTTTGAATGACTAGGAATTACAAGGGACTTTTTCCTGCAATTTATGGAGTGCTCTGCACCATGTCATCTCAACCCCAGGTCAGTGTGTAATTGCACATCCTGATGGCAGTGAAGAGCAGTCACCTGGATGCACCCAAAAGCTTGTGCTGTGAGTTCAGTGGCTCGTGCTGCCTATGCCGAGTTCTGCATGCTTGGGTCAGTCCTTTAAGCTCATGGAGTTTATGATCCAGATGATGTTTCTAGTGGAACTAAATTATGACAAATATTAGGCTGTGCTCTGACCTGTAATTTATTAATTCACAGTTAGATTTTAGTTCTGACTTACTTTCTGTGGGTTTGTATTCTTTTTTACTGCTAAATATATTCCCTAAAAGTTGGGATCTATTTAATTTGATCCATTCTAAAAGTTATCATAGTAAAGGGAAAAAAAAATTATGGTCAGGAGGCAACAATGTAAAATGGGTAGATCAGATTTTTACACAGCAAAGTCTGTTTTTCCAGGTGAGTTAAGATGATCTTCCTAGAAGTAACATCCTTTACGGATGCTCAGCGCCTACGATGCCCTATCAGTGGAAGACAGAACTTTAGACCAGTGCTTCCCAAATTAAAAACAAAATGTGCACACAAAGCACCGACTCAGAAGGTGTGGGGTGAGGTCCCAGGTTTTGCATTTCTAACAAGCTCCCAGATGATGCCAACGACCAAGGAGACCGAACCCAAGTTACCAAATCAAAACACCAGCTCCCAACTCATCATGATTAATTTTATTCCACAGCATGTTTAAGGGAATGTTATTCTCAGGAGGATGTTTGGGATTAAAATAATTAAAAAAAAAAACCTGGAAAGTACACACACATTTAAGTATCTCTTCTTTTCATTAAATATATATCTGTTTGGCAAAAAATGTTAGACTCTTTTGTACAAAAACAAAGCGAAAAAAAAAAAAGAAAAAAAACCCTTGCAAATTGTAAATACCTGTAATAATTACAACGATGTAAACTTGGATGTCTGACAGCTTGACCATCCCATGGAAAACCTGTGTTGCAGCAGGTTCCCTAGGAGAAGGTGACACGAAACCCTCGGATAGTGACAGCCCGTCATAGAGGCATTTAGGTTTAGTCTATTAGAGATGGAGTGTAACTACTGATTTCATTTGTGCTTTCAGCTAAGAGGCTGGGAGCATGTGTGGAAAGGAGGAAGGCAGGTCTGGGCTGGGGCAGGGAGAGGAAGCCCAAGACTAGCTAGCGCAGAGGGCGGCGGGAGGCTGGTCACGGTCACAGTGCAGATGCGGAGTGGGCGTGGGCTCTGTGGACTGTTTGGGAGACCCAGTGCTGGCGAGGCTTACTATGAGAATACTGGCGCTGCCCTTGGGACCCAAGAGGACAAGGGCAAGGCCAAGTCAGGAGACGGGGAGAGAGATCCCAAAGCAGACCTCAACTCAAATGAACCCGGTGACATGAGCTGACCCTCGAGAGAAGGGAAAGGAGAGCATGGCGTCTGTCTTCCCATCAGGTAGCTGCGCCATTTCTTCCAGGCACAGGCCATGGGGTATTCATTCCTTGAGGTCTGGGGCTGCTGGCTTTCCTACTCTAGGAAGGAAGGATTTTCCTGCCAGGGATTAGGATGGAAATGCCCAATGGCTCTCTTGCTAGCAGTGGCTTTTGGCTATTGTCCCACCAAGTGAACTGCAGCAATGGGCAGAGATCTAAAGCAGCGAGTCCAGAAACAGATCCAAGGAGGTGGAAGGGGCCAAAAAATTTTGGGTTAGAGGTGACGCCAAAGAGAGGGTGACCTGCAGCTTCCCTTTACCAAAAGATGATTCCAAAGCACGAGTTATGTTTTCGTTCCTCTCTCCTGTTAGCTAGATTTTCCAGTTTGGGAGGTGTGGGGGCTTGTCTGGGCCCGGCCACTTCAGTTACAGTCATAGACGAAGTCGTAGTTGCTGGGCTCCTTGGGGATGGGTGGAGGTGCGTCAGGGATCTGGATGTTTTCCAGGTCCAGGAGGCGGAGCTTAATTTCCATGCTGAGCAAGGTGTCCAGGTCATTCCGTGTCAGGTCGCTCATCATGTCTTTCCCAAGCAGCGCATTCAGCCCGTCCGTCCAGATACAGTACTGGCAGGGAAAGGAGGCAATGGTGATCACGATTGCTGGCAATTACAAGAGCAGTGCAAACAGCTAACACCTAGGGAATACTCAACATTGCTAGGCTCTGCCCTAAGAGCTTTCTGCCATTTAATATTTGCTGCTGCCTCTCTACAAATTGGACATTTCTGTTGTCATCTCTATTTTATAAGTTAGAGAGCCGAGGCAGAGAAATTAAGTAAAAGGGTAGTAAGTGGAGTGGGTGGAATTGGAAAACAGGCAACCTGCCTCCAGAGTCTTTGCTCTTCCATGTAGAAATGTGTCCCTAGGGAGCAGCAGAGGGTCTGAGTTCTCCACGGTTGTGCAGCACAGTATTGCTAATAACCTACCAGTGCATGCCTGGCTTTAAGGTATAGTGGGATATATATATTCCAACACTCCTGGACACGGCATCATGCCAAGCTTGCTTCTTTCTTGACTCCAATCATTGTTCCTAGTCCACTAGCTAATGTCTGCCTGACCTAATTCCTAGCATGCACAATGCCAGCTCCATTCCACTCTACAAAGATGTTCTAACCTGTGTTTCTCAGTGAAAGAGTAAGGAAACAGCTTTTGGCTGCCCAATGTCTGGTAGCCAACATGGCTAAAATGATTGAGTGATCTCAATGGGAGATGGGAAAGAGGACCATGATACTTGGAGAAGGAGTCAACTTCTGTTGTCAGCATCTCAGAAAACTGCCTGTATTTGGATGCTGTGCTTCCCTACCAGGTATGTTGTCCTTGGTCCTACACAGGGCTCTATAATAGCATTTGCTCTGCTTCCTGCCTCACTGGTCTTTCTTCTAGCATACACTCTAGATTCAGTTCTTTCCACACTTTATTGGATCAAGTTGCAATTTCAGATCCTCCTTAAGTCTATCCTTGGATTGTGGCTACCTGGGCCACAGAATATACAAGAATTATAGCCCAGAATATTCAAGCATATCTCAACATAGCATTAAAAGACTGGTGGCATTATATAAGTCTTAAGTCACTGTGATGGGATGGAAATCTGCCATGATACACGCCAATGGCATCATTTTTGGGGCTGAAGTGCACCCGCTGTGTGAGGAGTGCCGCAGTGAACTGTTGGACTTTGGTTCTGCCTTGGTTATGTGATCTCAGCCAAAGAATTTAACCTATCTAAACATAGGTTTAGTGCTAAGGGATTTCTGGAAGCATTAGTGTCCTCATGAATACCTCAGCCAGATTCTGAACATGTCTAACCATCTGTTTCCTCACAAATAACCTTGATAGAAATAGATACCTAGTTTCTACCCTGGAGATCCTGATTTTTTTTTTGTTCTTGGATGAGGAAATTTTATCTGTAAAAGCTTCCTAGGTAATTCTGATGAATATCCACATATGGGTACCACCGAATACCATGCTCTCAAAGTTCACTACCAGCTCTGACACTACTTTATGGGGAATCCCCCAATCCTGGGGATAACTGCTCCTATACACAACTTTGATAGCCCTGGCCAGACTCCTGGTGCAAATTAACCCAGAGGAACATTTTTTTGAGAAGTGACCTACAAAGAACATTTTATTAAAAATAATGCTGAACAATCAATTAGAAATCCTGTAATACTTGCTTTGAGTTGGAACTATCAGTATCAACTCATGGTATATTTTATCTCAAAAAAATCATAACTTCTAGTTTTGTCCCCCAAAAGACCTAAAGATAATGATCAAATGTTAATAATCATACCTCATGTCCAGATTCTCATAGCTACCATTTCCTATCACAAGTAACCAAGGGTTTAGAGAGAAAAGGCAGGAAAGATGAACCTGGTGTATCTTGTCATAGCAGAATGCAGAACATTATCAAAAACACAGGGTCATGTCATTAGTATCCATAAGCCAACTTGATGGTGTACCTACTTGCCCCAGATAGAATAATTTGGATGCTAACATTGGTAATAACTGCAATATGTTGACACAGATATGTTTAAACCCTAACTTTAGGGTAATCAAATAGTTGATGAGGCCAGTTTCTCTTTCTATATCCCACTAATAAATGAAGACAGAATGACAGAATTGAGATATCAACATTTGGCAACTCTAGTGGACTCAAAGATCAAGGCAATGATCATCAGTAGCTGCCAACATTCAAAAAAGAAAGACAAGAAGTAGAAAACACTATTGCTACTGCTTAAAAATTGAGCCCGACTTTGGTTAGTCTTCTAAACACCAATTTATAGGCAATATTAGGTAGGGATGAATGTATAAAATGACATTGCAGTCTGTGGAGGGTAGAACAACATCTACCTGTCAAAGATATCCACATCCTACTCCCTGAGCCCTGTGAAAATGTTATGTGATGTGGCACAGGGAATGAAGGTTACCACCAGATGACCTTAAATTAGCAGATTATTGGAAAACTGGATTTTCCACCTGTGTCCAATGTAGTCACATGGGTCCTTAAATTGAGAAAGAGAGGGGAGGGGCAGAGGGACATTTGACTACAGAAGAGGAGGCTGATTTGATGAGAGGGCTCAAGCTGTCACTGCTGCAGACGGATGGAGGCCAAGGAAGGATGGAGGCCAAGAGGCATTCAGAAGTAGGAATGATAATTTGGATTCTCCCCTGAGCTTCCAGAAAGGAATGCAGCCCGTACCATGTTGATGGTACCTCAGGCTCATCTGACTTTCAACCTCCGGAATTCTAATATAATACATTTGTGTTGTTTAATACTAACAGTCTGTGGTAGTGTATTGCAGTAGCAACAGTAACAAATACACAGAATTACAATCAGCACCATCTTAGCCTATTGACCACATTAGAAGAGTAATGACCTGGTATCTTCAATAAGTAACTTGCAAGGAAGAGAGAAGCACATGCACATTATTGTGAAAGCAGGAGAAACAGAGAGGGACCCAAAGATTCAGAGAGACCTAAAACTTGGCAACCAACTGCAGTGTACGCATCTTAGTTAGATTCTCATTTGAACAAAGTATAAAAGAAAAGAAGAAACATGCAAGTTAGACAACTGTAGGGGTCTGGGAGTTGACTGTGCGTGATGATATAAAAACTACCACAAGAGTAGTTTGGACTGGCAGGAAATACTGAGCTCAATTCTGGCTCTGTCCCTCTAGTGTAGGGGTTAATGGGAAAGGGTTTCAGGAGAAAGACTACCAGGGTTCAAATCCTAGCTCTATTATTATTTGAGTGATCTCGAGAACTGTTTTTTTTTTAATTTGTTTTTTAGTTGTAGATGAACACAATACCTTTATGTTATGTATTTATTTATTTGTTTATTTATTTTTAATGTGGTGCTGAAGAGTGAACTTGGTGTCTCTCATGTGCTAGGCAAGTGCTCTGTCACTGAGCTACAACCCCAACCCAAGTTTCTTAACCTCTGTATGCCTCGTTTGTCTTTTTTTTTTTTTACAAAATAGGGATACTATTAGTTTGTTTCTCGTAGAGTTACATAAGGATTGAGGTGATCCACACATAAAATTATATATCTATACGTTTAGATCAGTATTTATAATATGTAATAGGGACTGTCACAGGATGAATGAGGCTAGTTATAATTACTATTATCCTTTCTGTTGTTGAGGTCTTCAATTTGGGAAACCTTTCTCCCCTCATTTGATAAATAATATGTGTAATAGAACTTTCCATTTTATGGAGTGATTGTGAAAATAAGATGAGGTAATCAATATGCAAGTGTTTTGAAGACGCTATAAGCATTCATAAGCATATGCTATCTCTGTCCTCGTTGCCTCTATAAGAAGTGACAGGAATAAAAATCTAGCAGTCCTAGAGCATATATTCTTATCTGAAATTAATGTACCTACACAGGGGAAAATAGCCTTGCATTGATTTAAATTACAGCTGACGTTCTACTATTCGGAGTAGTTTTCTATAACGTTCTATACATTTTGAATATGGTGGCCTGTGTATAACCACTCTTTTACTTAAAAACAGAAATAGTAGGACACAGTGTCTATTTTCAGAAAGATGAAGACAACGTCTTACCCTTCTGCAAACTAAATGTCAAGTGACACAGAATTATATTTAAGCACCATTCTAAATGCAGGATTTGTGTCTAATCTTTCCTCTTTCTTTGGGATGTACGATTTTATTCAAGAGCTTCAAACCAGTGAAAACCAGATACTAAAGACCTTCTAAATGAGCTACATCTCCTAGGGGAAATGAGGAACAAAAGTCAGATTTCACTAAAATGTTCCCTTCCCTTTCTAAAACCTGTTTATGCAATGACATGCAAAACAAAAACTTGAATGGTATCGTCTAAAAATAAAATTTTCAAGCATGATGTTGGGTTCCAGTTTACAAGAGAAAAAGTTAAATCAACCATAACTGCTACTTTGTCTTACAAATGCATTTTCCTAGATTTATGCTAAACCTTTTAAATATAGCTGACAGTGTGCTTCAAGAAGAGAAACAAATTATACATATAACAAGATGTCAAAAAGGAATAAAAGCATCTTGGAAATAAAATTCCAACAGCAGAGACAGCCCTAACCCTCTTAAAATAGCTTAAAGAAACTTGGAGAGAACCTACTTCATCAGATGTTTTAAAGAATAGAGACTAGTTTATCTTGGGAAAATCCAGACCAAAAACCTAAACATTCAATGAAAACCAAAGCTCTAGCCAGGGCTGCTTCTTCCTCTGGATTAACAATTATGCCTTTGCTAAATATGAAGCATTTGTGCATCTATTTTCTTTACTATTATGCTATAATTTGGACCTTAAATGTCCCCTTAAGTCTCATTTGTTAAAGGTTTGGTACCAGCCTGTGGTACTACTGGAAAGTGGTAGAACCTTTAAGAAATGGAGCCTAGTTGAAGGCAGTTAGGCCATTTAGAGTTGCCTTCAAAAGGATATTGGGACTCTGAACCCTTCCTTTTCTCTTGTTTACTTCCCAGTCACCATGAAGTAAGGAGCTTCCTCTTTCATAGGCTTCTTGCCATGATGTTCTGTTTTACCAGATGCTTAAAAATCATAATAGATTCAACCAACCACAGCCTAAAACCTCTTGAACCCTGAGCCAAGATAAAACTTTCCTGCTTGTTAAGTTGATTATCTCAAGTATTTTGTCACAGTAATGGAAAGATGACTAACACACATGAAATATCAACCAAACTACTAAGAAGTTGGACCTGTTATAACTGGCAATTTTTAAAGAGGTTTCTAGTCTATCTCAAGATAATAAGATTCCCTTTTGTTTATGATTATTTCGGGCAGACTTCAAAATATTTTTCTTCCTTTCCAGTATTTTTCCTTGTACTGTTTTTCTAGAAACAATATAACATTCTGTAATAAATTAACCCCATTGAGACTCTTACCTCATGCTTGTCAGGAGCAATGAAGTTCAGTTGGCAGTTTGAGTCATACAAGATGGAGAAAGCAAGTTCAAGCACCTCCTACAAGAGATCCAAGAAAACACTACATTAAAGAAGATTGGCATTTTCTTTTTACAGTTATAAATGGCTGCAGCTTGAACATGGAGTAGGGCTTGCTGCCTGTTTGGACAAGAGAAGCAGCAACGAAGATAGCAGGAAGAGGGGGCATGCTTTTCAAGGTTTGCAGCATGAATCCTTCTCTCCATTCAGGAGAGATCTGTGGGAATCACCTGATCTCTCATAACAGCCATGTAGTAAGTGATGTCTCTACCCTTATATGGGGCAGAGTTCAGAGAGGTTAAGGCCACATGGCTCCAAAGCTGTTCTCTTCTTCTTTCTGCAGTATCTCCCTCCCAGGGAGACATAGCAAACACTAAACTCTCCCACAAGCAGCAGCATGAAGGGCTGCTCTATCTTCTATCACCCCCAAACAGACAGAGGTCCATAAAGGTCTGACCTCCCCAAAACATAGAGGCTATCTCCAAGGCAACGAGGCTTCTGGGTGAACCCAAATCTCAATGGCTGTCCTTTGCCCTTTGCACTACTGTGGAGCAAATGCACACACAGATTTTATTCACTAGAAGCTGCAGGATATTAAGGAGAAGCATAGGTTCAAGTGACAGACCTGGACTCATTCACTGTGGAGGGCAGACTGCAGGCCAGGCCCAGAGTTTCAAGAACCAAAAGGACACTTTCATTTCACTGCAGCTAAATGACTTTGGCCAAGGTGCTGAGTGTCATGTCTAAAATGTAAGTTAAAAACCACTTTTCTAGGCATGCAATCTACCAATATCAAGCACTATGATCATCCTGCTGGCCTGAGCAGTCAGCAGGGTGGAATCTCTGGAAAATGAGAGTCCTCAGTACATCCCAACACCCCGAGGCTCCAAATCTGGAGGAGAAGGGTCAAGTGTATCCATACCCCTTCTCTCCTGTGGTGATCTGGGAACTGCACTGCTCAGTAACTGCCCCAGAGAACATTCTCTCCTAGGGAGCCAGACTTCTCCACTTTATTCTCCACCTCAGTACGCGTCAGAGGATTTGCCTTTGGTGAGTGAGCCCTGGCGCCAATGCCCCAGAGAAAAGGTGGAAGGCAGCCAAAGTCAATGCCTCCAGATTTCAGAAGAATTAAAGAATTTTTCCAAAATAAACTCTGAAGACCTACTGTGAGCCGGATCCTCTCTCAAGAGAGTCCACCAAAAAGTTCTTTCCTGTTCTCGTGGAGTTCCTGTGTGCCCTGGCTCACCTCTAGCTGTTCCCTCATCGAGAGGAAACAGCTTTAGTTCTGAGGCCAGACCTTCCAGAATCTCACACTCGAATGGCTTCCCTCACTCCACCAGAAATCGAAGGAAAGAAGGATGTTGTGGCCTGGAAGCTATTCTGAAAAAACACTCCTCCATTTTTTTTTTTTTGTTGTTGTTGTTGTTCTTTTTATTCCTTAGGATTCCATGCAGGTCTCTGCCCAGTGAAGATGACATGTAAAGGAACTCACCCAAACCAATAACAAACAAATCCTATTTTCCCTTAAGTTTGGCACCTGTTTCCATAACCATATCTCACAGGTCTCTTAATTTACAATTAAATCATCATAGCTTTACTAGTAGTAGCATCAATCGATATTATCCTTAAAAAAAAAAAGCAATACACATCAAGAACCAAAAATCCCCCTTCTGAAGTTATTCCAGAAAGAATATTCAAAAGCAAGCAAAAGTTACATACTACTACCTGTAAGAAAATTATGACAAAGTAACTATCTCTCCCTTCTTCTTGGGTACTAAGGAAATCACAAATTAGCAACTGAAAAAAAATATATATGGTCAGTCATTCAGTAAGATAATTATGAACACCTGATATTAAGTGAAAAGCAGAAGAAATGAACACTGTGCACACACAGATCATAATTATGAACAACTGTAGATAGAATACTAGAGACCAGTATGTGAAATGAAAATTGCGTTAAGGTGCTGGGATTATAAATCTTTTCTCTTCAAAATATTTTTTTTCCAATAAAACCTTGAACTCTAATCTCAAAAATTCACAAAAAAATTATTGTTGGATAAGGAATGTTGTGTAAGCAACTATTTCTTTACTCATCGGGGAGTCATTCATTAGAAAAAACTCTGACTCATTCTTAAGAGAAGGGAGAAGATGGGCTTTGCTTTTGAACAACCAGTCTGGATATCACAGCAGCACGAGGGGACTTTTCGTGGTAAACAGGACAAGGCAAAACTCATCAAAATCTTTCTGGCTGAGCCCGGATGACAACTGCCACTTTGCTCAGGGAAATCGCATGGCCAATCACCCCTGGTGGCAGCAGCCGGTTTGAACATCACCATGGCTGGCCGGGACTGCGAGCTCCTGACAAGGTGCTGAAGTCTCCTGAGACCAGGGTCCTGGCAAGGTCAGCGCTGTGACCCTGTAACACTTTCTCCTCTCCAGAGGGATGGAGAAGGAAGAGAAATAAAGGGGTGTGCTGACTTTGGGCTTTGCCCTTGTATGCCTTACTTAGGACGCAAATGATCAGAGCTGTCCTGACCTAGATTGCTGATAAACACAGGCAGGAAATGGGAAATTCGTGAGAATGTCAATCCCCACTTTAATTTCACTGAGGCTTCCTGGGAGGGTGGGAGGAATTAATTCTCTGAACCACAGGCCTGTGTGAAAGGGTGCTATCGCTTATAATGGGTTTTATTGACGTCTTCAGCTTGCTGTCATTGAATCATTGGTGGAGGTCAGCTCTGCAGCTGACTTGGAGCAGGGAGGCTGCCGAGCTGGGAGCGATGGCGCCTCTCAGGCCAACACTCTGGAAGATGCCACCTGTCCAAACTGCCTGGGAGGGAGAAAGGCGCCAGGTGGTGGCTGAGCAGGCTGTCACAAAACTGGGGCAGTGTCCCCCTCAGGGGCTTCCAGCCACAGACCACAACAATCACACAGACATCGAACGCTCTGGGGCTTTGCTGCTCACTTCCGAAGGCCTTTCATTCCCTCTGGATTGAATTCAGTGAAAAATCACACCCAGGAGCAGCTCATCTCCTCCCGTTTTGCTGACGCACACCTGCCAGCCTGCCATGTGGAGGAAGGTTCTGGAGGGGCTGAGTTCTAGGGAAGGGAGGGATCATCCCTCTATATCCTCAGGTCCCTCTGTATTGTCAGGTCTCTGACTTTGAACTCAATCCTCTGGCCCTGGGATCAGTGACAAGGCACACTGGGTCAGGGATGTTCAGAGAAACAGCACCTCGGTGCAGAAAGTGTATGGATGCATTTTCTTCCATGAGTCAAAAGATAGACTGGCAATACAAGAACAGAATCTTACACAACATATTTTCAGTGCATAGCACTGGTTCAGGTTTTAGGGCAACTTAACGTATCTGGACATTTTACCCAGCACCCCCTTAAATACGTTGGTTCTCCATCTATCCAGATCATCCGGAGGACAAAGTATGCTGATGAAAGACACAGGATGGAACTTGGCCTACGCGTAGGTGTTAAATAGGGCCCCAGAAATAATAGTAGATTTGATAGCTACAGTGCATTGCTGCTCATCTATATATCTGTGGACCTGAGCTTCTGTTTTAAAAAGCAAACAAATTTGCTCATTCGGATAGTGCACAGTAGAAGAGGATGCTTTTTTCAGGCACCTATACCTTCTAGGCTTCAATCCATCTTAATAGCATTAACTACTGGTTCTCCAACCCATTTTCTTCTCCCTGTCCCCGGGTATCCTAGGCTCCCAATTCACTGGTTCCCAGTCAGAGAATGCTCTTTCACACCTGGAGAGGCCCCTGGGCCTTTTGACACGCTGTGTCCTCCTCCTGGAAAGTCTCACCCTCATTTCTCCACCTGGCCAATTCCTTTTCAAAACCCAGCTCAAGTGCCGTTTTCTCCATGAACTGTTCTCAACTCTACTACTCTGTTTAAATTATTATTTTTTTTTGGCGTAGATGATGAATTGTAATTGTACATTTATAAATAAATCATATCAGTGGACATCTAGGCCCAGGGCCAGGTAATATTTACCTTTGGATTCCTGGTACCTAGCACAAAGAAGATGCTGGATGGATAAGGAGTGCAGTAAATCTGAATAAAAGTCTTTTTAATTAAGACCAGGATTTCAAGCTGACTCTAAGACATCACCTTCTAGGAGAATCTGTTTCTTATTTAAGATTTAAGAATTGCAGTATAAAAGCAAAAGCTGGATTCTGGAATGTTGGAAGATGCTAGCTTCACTGATAACCCGTATTCTCCTATCAGAATCAGGATCCAGTGAGATCCGCCCTCTGATGATTACCCAGTGACGGTCTAAGCTCCAAATCCAGTGAGACAGCACTGCATGTCCAAGTTAAGCCACACAACAAGAAGTCAACTTATTTTTATAAATTATGGAGTTTGAATTTAGAATCCTTAATCCTTAAAAATCGAAAGTCTTACAATTGAATTTCCACCCACCCATGACAATTCCTTTCAAATCTCAGTCAGAAATTTTCCACTCTCTGTGAAGAACCTGGCATTTGTTTCCACAGAGATTTGCCTGTTGCACAGAGCTTTGTTAGACTCTTAGATTCTAAGCTCCTGGAGGCTGGGCCATGTCTCCACCGTTGGCCACCCCATACCCAGTGCTCACCAGATCTCAGGCACCTCAATGCTGAACGACTAAATGTGTGAATAAATGCCTCTACTATGGAGGGCCAGTTCTCTTCATCTCTCTATAACAGTGCCAGAGACATTAGCAAACGTTGAATAGGTGAGAGGATGCTAGTCGCTAATATTTTTCTATTAACAAAATGTCTTTTGTGGATTCTAGTAGATGAGTTGGCCTTGCTCAGCAGCAATTCAGCCAACCAAGTCCCGCGGCACAAAATGTGAGAAGCTACGGAGTTTCTAGAGATTCTGTGGGAAGGGTCAGCAGCAAGACTGGGTTGTTGCCCATCCTATACTTAAAGATCTCCTATGGACAGATTTTGGCTAATTCTCCTTTGAAGTTGCAAGTGTCCCCCCTCTTACTCAGAAGTCCCAAAGGTAGG